GCACACACACACACACACACACGCACGCGCGCGCACACACACACACACACGCGCGCACACACACACACACACACACACACAGAGCGAGAGAGAGGCACTTGGTTTCTGCTGTGCTGTGAGTCTGCTGTTCCTGCTCCAAGAGCAACACAACTATCCTTGTCATAGGCTGGAAAGGGCTAAAACTGATTTCTACACCCCAAAGAGAACCTTCTGTTGTCTTCCAGGCATTTGCTATTGCAGGAAAGGGCACTGAACCACTGAAACCAGCCCCATCCCATGCCATCAGCTGAGCTAGCATCTCCAGAGGCATCTCACAGGCACTACACTGCCAGAGCACTTTGACACCCCCCCCCACCCTTTGCAGTTGCAGAGTGCTCAGCACCCCCAAAAGCAAAGGCATTCACCTTAATTTAGACCAAGCCCCCCCCCCCCAAAAAACTTAATTCCCAACCTCTAAACTAGCAGAGCTGATTTTCCTCCCCCTTTCCAGATCCTTCCTTGGCCTCTGCTGGGCAGGAGCCCTCCCTTTCGCACCACAGCCTCAGCAACAGCACATAAATCACTTGCACGGATTGGCTGTGGAAAGCCGCCATAGGTAGCAGAGCTGTTACAGCAACACCTCCTCTGCCTTGATCAGGCTTCTTTGCTAGGCTTTCTTTTCCTCCTAAGGCAATAGGGTGATAGTGGCAATGGCTTCATGTATCCCTCAGGACATGCTCAAGGAGGGTTGGGAAAGGAGATCTGTGCAGAAGGTAAGGAGGTCCTCCCATCACTCTTCCACCTCCCTGAAGAGCTGAGAGCAAGGTGTGTGTGTGTGGGGGGGGGGGGCTCAAAGAAGACCCAGGAGCAAGGCAGGGTGCAAGCAGCGATGGCTCCCTCCCTCCCACTCGACTCCGCAAGGACCTGCTCCAGGTGGACATCCCATCCACTGACTGTCGGCGTTGGGAAGAACCAGGCAAGCCCCTGACCCATACTGCAGCCCTCACCTTTTCACAAAGCAGGGCTGCAGCGAGGGGCTGTGCGACACTGGAGCCACACAGGCACCACAGCTGCAGAAATCCTTCACAGGGAAAGGGAAGCAACTAGCATCCTGCAGGAACCCCCCCCCCCGCCTTGGCCTGTCCGCTATGTTTTGACTCAAACCTGAAGCAGTGAGAGACGGGTCTGGGGGTTATTTTTACTCCTAAATCATAACTGCTCCCCCTATCTTCCAATGACCTTATATAAAGCAGTAAACCCTCTGCCCAGGAGGGGACCAGACCAGCCCATGCAGACAGCAGCAGACTGGTACCACCACCTCCCAGGTGCCCTGCAGTTCTTGGCATGTTCCATCCCCATCACCCTTTGTGAGGGTGGCTGCTCTACGGTTTTTTCCTCCTGGGGGACAGCTAGGTGGCTCAGGGCTGCAGCACTTGGGCCTAGCACGCTCCTGCCTTTTCCTTAGCAAGAAAGGAAAGAGCTTTTGCCGCACAGGGATCTGGACAGCAATGGAAGCTCCGCCTAGTCACGGCAGCTATGCTACAAAAAGTTGCTCAGCGCACCCTGCAAGGATGGCCTGCTGCAGCCATCCTGCCTGCCCGACATCCAGCCAGACCCACCTGCTGCAGGCAGGTAGCAGAAGCTGCCTTGTACACGATCGCTGTGCCTCCCTCCTGCTCCTCTGGCAGACCCAGGGCACGACCACGGCTGCCGCCTGTCCCTCTCCTTGTACTGAAACAGCATAGCCTGCCCTGAGCTATGGCCTTTGCACAGCTGCACGCTGGGCCAGAGCACAAGAACTACCGCAGCAAGCGTGTTGATAAGAGCGGCACAGAGACTTTAAACAGGGGCTCAAAGGTCATCCCAGCACCCTTCCACAGGCAGGGACAGCCACCCAGCCAGCACAGCGCCTTTGGGTGCCCGAGACTCAGCTTGAGTAAGGATCTGAGATACCCACCATACTGGAGAAGTCATATGAATTACCCAGGTACAGTAGGTGCCAGCCCCCCCCTTCAAACTCACCAGAGGTCCCTCCCAGAACCCTCTGACAGCCATCGTGGCACAGGTACAGCACTTGCCTCGGCCTCATCCAGTTCCTCTCTGACAACAAGCCACTTTCTGGCAGTTAACCCCCAGGCCAGCCATGCAGGGCAGCAGCGCAGGACCTGCCGCATAGGGGGCAGGTCAGCAGCTGCCGTCCTGCAGGAACACTCAAACCACCCCGAGGGGCTGAGCAGACAGCAAAGTCCCTGGCAGGCTGCTGTAGAGGCCATGACCCGCACTGGTGGACGAGGAGCAGAGGCGGCAACCAACTCCAGCCCTACCTGCAGGTGGGGCAGGGCCCTCAAGACTGGCAGTTGCAGGACTGACCCAAAGCTCAGCCAAGCGCTGAGGTGCTGAGCAGGAGCGTGCAATCAGTACAGTTATTATTGGCAGGGAGCTGTAGGACAGTAGTCCTTCTTCCTGCAAGCCTAGCAAGGCTCCCCGAGCTCCCCAGCTGGGGTCAGAGCTCCTCTCCACTGATGGACTTCTGGACCCAGCTGAAGGGGCCAGACAGTGAGGCCAACACACCAGAGCAAAGGGACAGCAGGAAGCCACAAGCAAGGCACAGCTCAGAGCAGGGAAAAGTCTGTATTTATCAGGCTGGCAGGAAGAAGAGCCTCAGCCTGGCACCCATGCAGGGCTTGGCACCAGGCACGGACCTGCCGCCACAGAGGGGCTTTGGGCCTTCCTCCACGGAGCGCGCCGCAGCTTCACATGCAATTGCTTTTGGTTCGCTAGCAGCGAACGCCGCTCCCCGTTCCAAGGAGAATTCACTCTCCTCACACAGAGGCAGCAGATCCCATTCGCTAACCGCAAAGGGGGTCATGGCTTTCCAGGCAGTTACAACAGCCTCTTTGCCTGTCCTCCAGGCCAGAGGAGTAGTACAGGAGCTGGATAGGGCCAGGACATCTGCAAGGTGGGCTCAGCAGCCAGCTGGCTGGCTCCTGTGACCAAACATCTTACAGAGCATGTTTGGAGGTTGTCAGAGATGAGAAAAAGAACAGGAAGAAAGAGGCAGAAAGCCTTAAGAGTCCAACCTGGCTAACAGTCACTCTAGAGTTACAAGTGGCCACCACAAAGCAACTCTAAAAGGACTAGCTGGCCATGATGGAGAGACATTACAGCACAAAATATGCTTCTCCACGAAATACAAAGACTGTACCTCAGATAAAGGTGCAGAATACTTGCTGCCCAGAAGGGAGCAGTGCAGAGAGCCCAGAGACAGAAAAGGGGCCAGCAGGCTTCACGCAGGGACTTTTCTGGCCTCCCCAGGTCCTAAGCAAGTGGCTGCAAACTCTCTAACAGGCCGAGAGGCTGTACAGGGAGCGGGTCCTCTAGAGCACGCTAACCAGGAGCCATTGGATATTGGATCCCAGAGCTCAGGGAATCCCACGTGGGGGTTGGTCCTGCCAGCCTGGCAAAGTCAGAACGTTACAGCCCAGACTAAGTGCAACGGGGAGGGCAGGGGCTGGACAGCAGCAGCTCACCGCGAAGGTGAACAAGGAGACATGCCATAGCTCTGTCAGCATTGCAACCTCAGAGGTGACAGAGTATGTGCAGATGTATATGGGCATCAGGCGCAGATGGCAGCAGAGCTTCAGTAACCAGAAAGTACCCAGGAGCCTGGGAAGGTTCATGTGCCTGTGCTGCTGCAGCTTCCCAGGGAATGAGATTAAAACCAGCTCAGGAGGGTTTCTGTGCAAGTAAAGACAGCTTCCAGCCCTGCCACCATCCCTCCTTACCGCTGCTCAGACTCAGGTAAACAGGCAGCCAGAGAACAGCAGGATCTGGCTAAAAACCTCCACGGAGGCAAACACATCTCAGGTGGCTGGAGTCCTACAAGCCCTGTGGTTGCCCTCCAGGATAGGATGGGCGGTCTCTAGGAGGGACTCTTCTCTCACTGCAGAAATCCTCAGTGCTGGCCACATGCTCTCCTCTAGGTAGGCAGCCACTGACGCTGTCCACACTGTCCCCGACTCCTATCGGACCGTTCAGAGCACACGTGATCAAGAACCCAAATTCAGCCAGAAACAGGGTACCACTCCCCCATGCAGCTTGGCTCAGCACTTGTCTCTACAGGCCAACAGGGCCAACAAAACAGCAGCACAACGGTTCTCTCTCCAAAGGCTCAAGTCCATCTTGGCAGCTAAATCTGCCCCACACCTTCCCCAGATATCAAAGCACAAACCAGCCAGCAGCACAGAGCAATGACATTGCTTCAGCAAATCAAGTTTCCAGTAACACGGAGATCTCTGAAGAAAAGCCCAGAAAGGCCAAACATCCACATAAGATGGTGCTTGGGCAGACCAAACCTTGTTGCACTACAGAGCACTGAAGCTGTGCACTAAACTGGTAGAGCAAGAGCTGCGCTTGTTTCCACTTGAAAACCGGACACCGGCAGCTCAGATATCCAAGTCCCTGCAGGAAATATTCCTGTACCCCGCAGACTGTGAATGTACACCCAAACTTCTCAGGAAAGGTCTCTCTGACACCAGGGAAGGGGGTTCCCATCAGACACCTTGTTTCCACTCAGAGCGGAGAAGGTCCCATTTTTGGGAAGGGGACAGCTCTGGGCTTTTCCCCTTCCACTTTTTGCCCCTCCCCTCACTCTGAGGCCCGCCTGAAGGGCGGCGCAAGAGGGAGGATGCCCCACTGGGGGCTGGCTCTGCATTCACTGCTCCTGGAGGCGAGGAGGGTTAGAGGCCCGTGAGATCTACAATGGCTTTAATAAAGATGGCGTCATCACGTACGTAGGAATTCTTCGCTTCCATCATGGAGACGGGGCAGAAGAGTGGGCAGCCACTGGCAATGTTCATTTCGGTGATGGGTCGCTGGAAGGAGGAGGATGTCACATCAGGTCGGAAAGCATCGATAATGTGCTCTCGGTTGTTCTGATCCAAAAGCATCAGGGTTACCTATGGGGAAACATGGAAGTATACGAGAGTGGCTGAATAAAAAGCACATCTAAAAAGCATTAAAAAACATCTAGTCTGGTGACCTGTTCACTTTAAGCCTGTGAAAAGTGCAAGTGCAAGCGCAACCTTAGCCACACTATGTGACTACAGATCTGAGAAAAGCCTGTAAATAGGGTCAGTGCAGAATGTCACAGAGAGCTGCAGAACCACATCCTGCCCTGTCACTGGAAACTTGTGTGACAGGACAGAGCCTCTGTCAGACTAATCATGAAAACCTGTAACTGGCTGGCACAAGAGTCACTACCAATACTTCATGCAGACATTTCACTCAGTCCCAGAGAGTTACTGTCCCACTGAGAAAAAAGGAGGCGCTTTCCCTGCATCAGTACTCTTCTGGCTCAACTTCAAAGTGTTTTGGAAATCTGTAAAGTCTAGGAACTGAAATCTGAACTTCTGATGTTAAGTGAGGATCTGCATCCTAAATTCAGAGTCCACAAATGACAGTGTTCCCTAAGCCCAAATTTGCACAAAGGCTTTGCTCACTTTCCAAATATGCTGCTGTTCTCCTGTTACTACCTTTGCCCTTTCATCTGTCCTGCCTTGCAGTACTTGGTACTTTCAGCATGACTGGGGAATCCCAAGAGCAGCTAATGTGCCAAAAGCTTGTCTTATTCTTGTGCTTGCTAAGTAAACCAGACTGACAGTGTCTAGAAGCTCACGTGGGTGCACAACTATAGAGGAGCACATCTCTAGGCAAAGTAGGCTTTGTCCCAAACCTACCTTCTGGTTGAAGGGCCATCGCAGAAGCGCATCATTGGGGCCTTTCATCACCACAAAGAAGAGAGACAGATGGGTCCCACGCCCAGTGCCGTCCCCGTTCAGGTAAACACGCAGACACATCTTGTAGCCATACTTGCTTGTGTAGAAAGCTATCGAAAGTGTTGCAAAACAGACATAGTGAGCGTCAGAACCAACAAAGCCTGATACCAGCAGTTTCTTTTGAACTCTGAGGGCTCTACAGTTTGGATCCTAGAAGAACCTAAGTTGGGATATTATCATATCTGCACCAAGGAGAGGTTCCAGAAAGTCACCACACACAGAGCACAGTCAGATATGATCTTAGATTGACTTCAAAATAGTCAATCTTCAAAGATAAAGTAGTCACAAGCCCCTTAGTCTAGATAACATGCTGTTGTAGCGCAGACCAAGAAAACCGATGACCCTTCAGACTTTCCCTATCCTACTACTACGAAAGCTCCCAAGACAAAGCCAGAAGCTGGTGTTCTGCCTGGGAGCAACTGTGATTCCTTAACTGCTTTCCCACCACAGTTCAAGCAATCATGTAGCATGCGACTACTAAAGGCCTGAAGGCACCAGAGGTGTCAGGGTATACTTTAGCCCCCCCTTTCTATTGCAATAACACTGACAAGTAACAACAAACAACCCCTCCCCCCAAAAAAAAAAAACAGGTGGGGGTAGAACATGCCTAGTACTCACTGCACCTTCTTTCTAAGCTGACCGCCCCTGAATCGGGGGCAGAGACATGGCAAGCAAGCTTTGCTCTCCCATCAGGATCTCAGATATTCAGAAGTGGCAGGGGCACAGCCAGGTATGTGGCCCCAGGATCTCGGGCTCTTTCTTGAACAGTTCTGGGAATGCTCATGTTGCAATACCAGATCCGCCCAGTCTTGCCACAAACTGCCCTCTCACAGCAGCACAGAGGTACAGGCTAAGGATCGGGGAGAGGCTCAGCTGCCTCAGGGCACACAGCAGGTGATCAGAGCAGACATTTTCGCTATGGGGCTCATGCACTTTAATGAACAGGCAGATAGGCAATAGCAGTGAGGCCGTGCCCTTTGACAGGCTAAGCACCTGGTAAGGAGCAAGAGATCAGGGCTTTGTCATCTGCTTCCCCACTGACACTACCCAACTCACTTTCCTGCTCACACCTCTCTACTCATTTCACCTAGGCTGAATGATTTCAGGGCAGAAGCTACTTTCTACTAATAGCCCAAAGAGCACATCATAACAGCCCTCTGAGTCAGGTTGGGGCTTCTGAGCATTTTCATAACCCTGAGCACGTAAAAATTCTTGGGGAACTGGAAGAAGGATGGCTGAGCAGAGTATAACGACTATTCAGCCCAAGCGCCAAATGCCTTTTATGCTGCAATACCAGGCTCAAGGCTCTGTCAGAACAGTGACCTGGCCCCTAGCTGGGAGCAGAAGGGCAGGGAAAGTACACAGGAATCAGGGCAAGTGCCAAGCAAGCCTTCCCCATCCAGCTGCTGACGGTCACCAGCTGATGGTTTTCAAGCAGAAGATTAGTTTTGGACTGTCCTGTTTAATGCCCCAGGTGAGCCTTTCTTCTGTGAATTGGCCTAATACCTTTTTGAATTCTTTTATGCTTTTGGCCTTTACAAAAGCCTGTGACAATGATTTTTAACTTACAATGCTGTTGAGTGGTAACTGTAATTCCTTTTATTTGTTTAAACCTGATTTAATTTGGTATTTCCTTGTTCTCATGTTTTAATACAAAACAATTAATTGCATCCATTTCCCTTTTTTATCCTAGTTATGATTTTCTAGACCTCTCTCATTCCAGCTGTCTCCTCCCCAGACTGAAGATTCGTTTCTCAACCTAATTTTCTCAGCTAAATCAGCAACAGGAATGAAGACCTCTAGTCTAGAGCGGCACAACCAACTACTGCAGGAAACCAGGCCTTGTACTTTGCATTTGCAAGACAAAAACGTCCTTTTTCCTCCACATACATCCTCATGTACTAGGCAGAGACAGCCTGTACCTTCCAGTTCCTCAAGCCGCATCCAAAACTTTTCATTACCAGACTGCAGATAACAACCAGCAATATAAAACATACTGTCTGGTGGCCCACAAAATATTGTTTTTCATTTGATGACACAATTTATAAAAGTCCCGATCCCTCAGCTATGAGGCTGACATTTTCCTGCCTTTCCCTCCAAGGTGATGTACCATGCAGAACCACTCACACGCCACCAAACCTGGGTGGAGGACAGAAATCAGCCAGCACACAGCACAAGAGAGGAGGTGAAAGCAATTGCAAGGTGCAGCTTTGGGAACAATTCTGCTGATCTAAACGCCTTGAGTTCACTGAGAGGTCTCCTCCCCTTTCCTTCCCCATCCCCTCCCATCACGTTCCCTTCCCTGGGCTGACTCTGAGGCTCATCATATCCCTCCTCAAGCAGCCTCGATTCTTCAACCTAGGAAAAAAATCCAGCCCCCTGGGAGGACAGCAAGTTGTATGAGCTGACGGAGGAGTCTGAGGAGCCCCAGAACTCAGACAAAGCAAGCAGCAGACACGTGGCCAGGAGGAAGGACCTGACAGATCAGTCCAGTCTCTTGAAATTGCAGTCTCAGGAGACATTTAGGTCGAAAAGCTCTCAAGCACTGCACAAAAAGTAGACAGGATGCAAGACTTAGGGTCCTCTCTCAAAGCCAAACAAAACAGACTCGACCTGATTTCTTCACTTTGGGAAAAAGAAAGGAAGTGCTGCCCTACAAGAATTTGACGGAGAGCTGGGGTTTTCCACAGCTGTCACTGACTTTTAAAAGGAAATGGTAATTGCACGCAAACAGTTTCAATAGCACTTCAGTTCCCCTGAAGGGGAATCCTTTTCTTTCATTTTTCCCATGAGAAAAAGGATTCTAAGCAGCCAGCATCCAGAAAATGGACTTAAAATTCATTTAAAACTTCGATTGTTTTTCTTATATTTTGTGACCCCAGGACTACCCGATTTTGTATTACACCAGGAAGTAGGCTCTAGGTTGGACATTTGGGAAGAGCTCTCCGTCAGGCTTAGACCTAAGCTATTCCTACTCAGGAAAATGCACGTTCACCTCCTCAACTACTTCTTAATGATGCGAGCAGCACACAGAGCAATGAAATCCTGCAAAGAGACGGTTTCATCTCACAGCTGCAATACTAGGATGTGCTTTCATAAGCAAAAAAGCCAGCTCATAACCAACTGTTTACTGATTGAGGCCTTTTTTATTTTTTTTTTTTTTTTTTTTTTTTAAAAGACAACTAGGAACAGTGCTTGGTTGGGTAAGTTCTGCAAGAAGACTCCTTCTCCTTTAACAGATATTCAAGAAGTTCTCTGGGTATGGTTTGGGCTTTTATTTAGACATTGTCTCTTGCAACTTCATGCTCTGGGCACTAAAATATATTTCTAATTTCCTTCCTTGCTTAACCACTTATTGCTAGCTGTACTGTTTCTGAGTGTTTTAATTCTAAGGGATTATGCAGGGCTGTTTTGGGGTTGAGGGCTGCCTTTTCCATTATGGGAAAGAAAAAAGGTCTTCTGTAATGAAAAAGCCATCTCTTCCAGCAGAGCAGATTCATTTACCCCAATTGTTAAAGAAGTGGTTCAGTCTCCACCGGGAAAGGGGAAGAGAGAACAGAAGTATGTCTGAACGGCCACGCACATCACATGCCTAGTTTAGCACTAAAAACCCCATACCCAGTTGAAGCACAAAAGACTTTTGCTATTTTGCAAGTCTGTGAGCAATAACCTGGGGAGAAGATTGCAGGAGAGCGGCCCGTTATCGCCTCTTGACGTTTCCTGGCAAATTCTGTTATCTTCCAGATGAAAACACCATCGTAGGTGGAAGCTTCCAGGTTGCGGATCTTTTCTTCCATCTCAGCCATGGCCAGATCTTTGAGTCCAATGCTCCTTTCCAGCTGTCGAACCTGCTCAGTGGGATACATGGTGCAGCCTTGTTAGAAACACGTACTGCTATGAGACCTAAGAAAGTCAGCAGACACTGGAATCTCCTTCAGGCCTAATCTTTAGTAAGAAACATTCTCCAGACGTGACAGGGGTCAGAAAAAGGAAGAAATTTAACACCATAAGCTGATTCATTGAAGCTTCTTTTTGAATCCTGCCATTCTAGAGGAGATGCATTAATACAATTCAATGCCTGAGCTGGAAATTTTCCTATAGTGAACAGAAAAATTCTCTCAATGAACAGGTTGTTTCTTTAGTAACACAAGAGATCACACTGGGGGTGAGGGGGGGAGAATCAACGTTGTGATAAAACTAGACTGAGAAACAGAAGAGCCAACACACTGCCAAAGCGGGGGGGGGGGGAAATTATCATGGTTAATCACTGCTAGGTAATAGGATTATGTCTGTTTTGGCAGATCCCTTATCAAGAGAACACAGGTATGCTACAAACTGCAGAACTCCCAGTCACCAAGACACAACGGCAGGGCTCAGCA